CCGTCAACCTCACAGCCAGTGTCTCGTGAATGTCAGGGCAGGTCACAGTCTGCTTCTTGTAGGTCCCAGGCCTCCTTCTCAGGCCCTGGCTGTGCGGCAGGAATGCTGCAGGTTGGACACTTGCAATGGTGGTGGCCACTCACCTCCGGGCTTTGAGTGGTGGGCCCCTTCTTCCCAGCGTCGGCCCCCCGTCAGGTTAAGGTCCCCCGCCCGGTCTGGCCTACAAGGACCCTTGGCTAGGGGTGTCTTTCTGGGCTGGGCCCTTTGCCCAAGGTCCCCCCCTTGGCTGGCCCCACTTGCTCACCACACCTGGCTCTGTGGCTGCAGCTCTGCTCCCAGCACAGGATCTGCTCTCCCTGGGCTGCACCTCTGGCTCCTCTGGATCTGGCACAATTCTGTTCTCCAGCTCAGCTTGGGCCCCTGCTTTCTCCTTAGCTCGGCCCCACTCAGTCTGACCCAGGCAATTCCAACTCACACAGAGGACGGGACCCACCCTGGCCTCCTGTCATGCTGATTAGCCTGCCCGCCCTGTCAATCAGGCTGACCTGGAGCATTGGCCTCTCGCCATTGTTCCTGGGGAGTGTCAGTCTCAGGGTCCTGATTTCCCATCAACCCCTCCCCTTTTAGTGCTGGGAGCTAGCCAACCAAAACACCCCCACTGAATGTTAGTAAGTGGCAACAGTCCCCTTACATAGGCATGGAGGTGATGGGACACAGTTGGTCTGCCTCTTCCAGGGCCAGGCCTGTCAACGATCATCCCTTAGAACCAGGGAACTATAATGCCTCTGTCCACATGTGCACAATGTGGAGCAAAGGCAGGAGGAAATCTGGTCCAGCATGATTCATTGTGGCTGTTATACAGTAACTCCTCACTTAAAGTTGTCCTGGTTAACATTGTTTCGTTGTTAGGTTGCTGATCTAATAGAGAACATATTCGTTTAAAGTTGCACAATGTTCCTTTTTAAGGTTGTTTGGCTCGCTCTGCTCCGAACTGACCCCACTTCCCTGCCGGAGCGCCAGATGGGCAGAGTGGGGCAAGCCACCGTGCCCCGACCCCTCTACGCCCCGCCTCAACTAAGCTTCACAATCATCATTGGTGAGTACAATATTACATTGTTTGTTTAAAATTATGTAAAACTTATACTGTATATGTATATAATGTCTTTTGTCTGGCAAAAAAAAAATTCCCTGGAACCTAACCCCCCCTATTTACATTAATTCTTATGGGGAAATTGGATTCATTTAATATCATTTTGCTTAAAGTAGCATTTTTCAGGAACATAACTACAATGTTAAGCAAGGAGTTCCTGTATTAAGAAAGCAGTAAGGCAGACAAGAATGGAAGAAAATACAGAGGAAAGAGATTAAACAGCTGAAAATACATCAAGGTCCAGGTAATTACATGTGGGGAAATTGTCAGACTGTTGAACAATGCTATTTGTATTACAGTAGTACTGTATTGTATTACGGAGCTCCCCAACAGCATCAAGGCCCCGTTGTGCAAACATAGAGTAAGAGACAATCCCTGCCCTGAAGAATTTGCATTCTAACTAGACACAACAAAGGGTGGGAGAAAGGGCTGCAGCATACATGTAGAAGATAGTCCAGTCCACCAAGTTCAACTGCCTAGATAATTCCCCGTAAGGGAGTCTCCATGGAGGAAAGCTGTCAGAGGGAGCACACCCAGCTCCCTGATGACCCCGGTGTAAGGAAGAAGCAGTTCCAGGGGTGTCAGGAGTGTGGTGACACCTACTCCATTATACCTGATCCTCCATTGGTATAAAATCCATAAACTTATGCCAACAAGGGAAGTTACAGTATGCCCTTCAGCTGTTCTAAGTACTACAAGTGCAGAGCAGCCAAGAAGCCACAACCAGCTGCCTGTGTCTGCTACTATTCACATTATTGGAATGCAGCTTCAATGTAATGGAGAACAGTGCCTAAGTGATTTTCCCACAGTCATAGAGGAGGTCAGTGGTGGAGCTGGGAATTGAACCCAGGTCTCTGAGTTCTAGTTTACTGTCTTAGCCATAGGACGCTTCTACCTAAATACAGCAATCAGGAGCTTGCTTTAAAAATAAATGTAAATTCATTGTAGGGTCAGCTTCATCATTCTGATGCAGTTCGGTGGATTCAAGAGAAGAACATAAAATCTACAGGTACCATATGATTCCAGCAGGGCTGGTATAGGAGAAAAGCTAATAGTAAAATCATTTGCTGTAAAACAGTCTTTGAAATTGTCTTCGGATACATGAAAGGTTCTCTCAATCTACTACTCATAGGATGAGGCAACAAAGGAAGTCCATCTAGTACAACATAGAGTACAAACAAGCAGTGGGCAAATCTGAGATGGGAATCTCATCCCTGACATTACTGCTGTGGTATGGAGTGTATCTTTCTCATGAACATCTACACAGTCTGTTAGTGAACCTGTCATAAAAAATACTGAGGTGGGCGGGGAGCAAGAGCCATTTTTTTTCACAAATGAAAGAAGCTATAGTAGAAAATAAAATAAAATCAGAACTCTGCTGTCTGGCCTGATCTTGCTAGATGTTGAGTGCCACACTTTCAAATAGTAGGGCTAGATTGTGATTTATCCTACACACCAATGCAAAGGTGTACATGAGCTACCACTGCACAAGCTACCTAGGCCTTGGCACCAGGCACACAACTGTAAAGAGACCCTGCGTATCCACTTCTCTTCCTCCCTGAATAATATGTATGGGGAGTGGGCAGGAAATATACCTGTTTGTTGACCAGCACAGCAGAGCCAGTGTGGGGTATGTCAGAACTTGGTGACAGTATAGGTTCCCAGCTACATGTTGTTAGGGTTGGAGGGGTTTCATGGCCTTTTGAGGAGGAGAGACACATGCTGGAGAGCCATTAGCAGAAGGTCCAGTGCAGTTTGGGGCTGCAAACACACAGATATCAAAGAAGTATTAATCCTTTTCTATACAACTGTGCTGAAATCAGAGCTGTGATATTGTCTTCAATTTGGGGTGTCTTGTTACCAAAAGATAATTAACAATTGGGAGGCATTCAGAGGTTGAAAAGTTTGTACTCTAAGCAAAGAGAAGAAATTTTTAGCATAGTAAATTACTGTAAGAGCAATGGAATTGAGAAAGGGAAAAAAGAAGGTGAAGTATTTGTGGGGAAATATTCTCAAGCCTAATTATATTATAGGTAATAAAACTGGTAATTAATAATGAATTATTAATTCTTAAATATTACTGCTACTTAGCCCTGAAAAAGTCAATTTATGACGCAGTATATAGTGGAAATGTTATGCTCTACAGCAGCAGGTAACTACTATTATATAGATCCATCATCAAAACTTACACAAAATAGTGGTTCTGCAGTACTGAGAGGCACTGGCTGTTCATGCCAAACACATAATTCAGGACTAAATTCTGGCTATGACCCTCTACATGAATGCTGGCATCTACATCTGCTGTTTTGGTGAGCACACACTGCTCATTTAATAGTAAGTATCATTGGGTTGACCTTGTCCCTTTCATATTCCCTTGGTTCATTCTGTTCAGCCAGGGAAGACACACAGAGAATGGCATATACCTATTTAAAAGTGAGACTTAGGTGCTACTACTCTGCTCTGTCCAGCTCTGTTCTCTGTGGAAATGACAAAATTTGGCTCATATTGTGTTTTCGAACAGTTTGTTGTGCATTAGTATGATAACAATGATGCAAAATAGTCAGCATGTTTTTGCATTTGCACACAAATACATGTGTACTTTTTATACATACTTTGGGTGTGTGCATGCAAATAGCCATTTTGCAAATGTATGTGACTAAACAGGTGCTTACCTAGCCAGGTGAACATGCATAGAAGGGATTTGCATGCATACATTCTTCTTGCAGTGTGCTTGCAAAGCAGGCACTGCTCCTTCCATCTTCCTGAAAATCAGGCTCAGTATTTTTGTAATGTTTTTTATAATATTTGTTATGAACAATTGCACAACACTCTCTGGTTGACTTACATTTAATATGTATTATTTATTTATCGCATCACAGTTCTGTGCAGGTTGTTGCATGGACACCTGTAACTGAGCCGAAGTAGCAAGGGAAGGATACAAATTTTCATGTGAAGCAGATAGAAGTTCTATCTTGTCATTTAAGATAGTATGAGGATGGATACTGTAGCCTGGGTATATCTATCAAAAAAAACCTCTGCTGTTTTTTCACAAAGGTGAATCTATTTCTTTTCAGTCATCTCTTATTCCATACAAAACTTACTGACAAAGTAAAAGTAAAAACCTGTTGACTTAGTGTGCCTACTAATATTTGGGCTTTATTTCTCACACAAACGGATGGAAATGATACCAGTATTTCTCTTTCACATGTTCAGCCTACTAAATTGCATTCCCTCCTACTCTTGTATGACTTCCATATCTCACAAGGTGGAGACATGGTTAATTAATATTTGTAAAGTATTTTGCTGTCATTGGTTTATTCAAATTATGCAAGGTACTAAACAACAAGTAAACCCTGTGAAATTACAAAAGAAGGATTCCACAGCCCCCATAACTGCATAAGAAAAGTGTTGTCCATGTGGGGCTAAACCTTAATCACTTTACTCATACAGACTTGGCTAGATTCTCAATTGGAATAAATCAGTGTAGTTCCATTAATGACAACATCTATCTAAACATAGCCCTGTGCCACTGTATGTTAGAAATTTATTTGCATATGTACATTTTATTAGATTATACTCTAAATGCTTTGAGAAATATCGGGTTGGAATTTCAAACCAGTCTAAGTGATTTAGGAGCACAAGCACCATTGACTTTCAATGAGATGTGTGCTCCTAAGTCACTTGGGTACTTCGGAAAAATTCCACCCAGACATCTTAATCCTCGTACTAAAATGAAAATTAAGAAAATATCTTAATATCCCTCCCAATACTTGGTGAAATAAGTTTGAGATATTCAAATGGGCCTAAACCAGTTAAGCATTCAACTCCCATTGAATTTCAGTGAGATTTGGGTGACTAACACCTGTTAGGTTCCTTTGAAAATGCCAGCATGAATATATGCCCAACAGTTTGTTACAGTAAGTAGCGCTTTCCTAAAATGTGATAGAAAACCCAGGACACATTTATACCGCTGTTGAAGTGACCATTCAATTTGGCCCAGTAACACATCCTCAGATGGTGCATCTTCAGATGGTCGAAAGAGCTATGTTGATTTACACCAGCTGGGAATCTGACCTTAGTACCATGGAGCCTAACTGGATAGTTATTTAAATAGTGATCTAAATCAGTGCTTCTCAAAGCCGGTCCGCCGCTGTTCAGGGAAAGCCCCTGGAGGTCCGGGCTGGTTTGTTTACCTGCCACGCCCGCAGATTCGGCCTATCGTGGCTCCCACTGGGCGTGGTTCGCCACTCCAGGCCAATGGAGGCTGCGGGAAGTGGCGCGGGCCGAGGGATGTGCTGGCCGTGGCTTCCCACAGCCCCCATTGACCTGGAGAGACAAACCGCGCCCAGTGGGAGCCACGATAGGCCGAATCTGCGGACGTGGCAGGTAAACAAACCGGCCCGGACCGCCAGGGGCTTTCCCTGAACAAACGGCGGACTGGCTTTGAGAAGCACTGATCTAAATTACATTGTACCCAGCGTTTCTATCACACTTTAGGAAAGCATTACTTACTGTAACAAACTGCTGGGCAAATATTTATTTCACTGAGAACTGGAAGAGATAAAGATGTTTTCATAAATTTTAGGACAGCATCAGGATTGTGATGTGTATTTCTAGTAAAGCAGCTCTGTCATACATAATCTACTATCATCTGAATGCACAATTTTATATTATTGCAAGAATACACCACATTATGAGGCTATATTTAAATATATTCCTGGTCATATGGTCTTAGAACAAAGGTTATTGTGATAAATCCTTTACAAACACATTGTATGTATGACTGGGCCTTAAGTAATTCACATAAAATGGGTTTCCAGAGAAAACATTTGTGTGTCAACATACATTTTATTTCTCAGCCTGATTGAAAACGATAAAAGCAATTCTGTTGGTGAAACAAGATATATATGGTATAATTCAGTTTTAGAGAACATTGAACAATCCAT